AACTCTAAACCATATATATTACACTCATTATCGATAGATTCCCTTTGTGGAATATCATTAATAGTAGTAAACACATCACCCATAGGTTAGTGGTTCACATTACAATCAGAGCTATCACTTTTATTACCCGTACGACCATTAAAATCTCCCCCAATTATTACCTTACATTCATATTTAGTGGAAAAAGTAACCAAATTATTTTCTAACTGATCAAAGAAATATGGGTTTATAAAGTTAGAACCTCCAGGAGGCCTATACACACTTGCCACTACTAACTACTTCAGACATATTATTGGATATTCGATTGGTATTATTGTTATTTCTAGTTGGCTTCTATGATTTCATTTATTGTGTATTCACTTACCTTAGCAGCAGTATCTGACCTTATAGTCAAGGCATGGAGGCTGAGTTTGGTGATTATTTATACAATTGAATCCGATATATGGGTTATGATTAAATATAAATTGACCAGTCTGTTCTGCGGGGATGCCATTTACGGTCTGTGCTTGTATTGCAGTAGGACTACTGCAAACTAGTCCTTGGGCAGCTGCTTCAGACAGATATTCTTCATCTCCTGCTCCGCCAGGGCCATCCAGATTAATCCAGTCGGTCCATGCTCCATCACACACTTTGGGTTTAAACAAAAGAATAGATTGTTTGCTCATTTGTATGATGTGGGAAATGGTTATCTATAAACACCCAAACATGTGCGGGTTTCTTGGTTTTTGTTTGTTTTACACTAGTGTTATTCCGAGCAAATTAAATGTTAGATGTTTGATACACTAAATACGTCTTTTCATGCTTTCAATTTTACGATCTTGGTCCGAACACTGGATGATAGTCATTCATCTCCCACTGTCGCACACATCAAAGCGTATTAACACATTTCTTAAAAAACAATTCACTTATTCATATTTTCATTTCTGCTGCTACACATGTATATTGATTGTACATACATACATACCAGCATTAACACCGTAAACTATTCGAGAAGTCACATAGGTGTGTGGAGTTGTATCCCATTGTTGCTATGTGAAAAACACGGAAATACATTGAGTGAATTAAACAATGTCTGCAGTGAATGAATCAAATCCCTAGGGCCGTATCTCTGTCTTGTAAGGATTCATGTAGGTATGTTCACGCAGGTATGGTATAATTGACTGTATGTTTGTTTTTACAGTTTTATTTAATATAACACGAGAAAAATCACTAACGGAGTAGTCAAATTGTGTGTCATTTTGCACAGATTCAAGTTTGACATTCATTTTTTTATTTTTTGTCATTATAGAGATTAAAACCTTTTTGTAAAACTTTTGTATCACCATGTTGACTTTCGTTTACTTGCAGGTGCACATGGGTTCAGCGGTGATATCATAGAGAATTGTCGTACGTTGAAGTTGTGCGGGTTGAACATTTATGCAACTGGGTAACATTGTATCTGCACTGGCACGGTGTGGTTGCTTCAGTGTGACATGTATCGAATTCGAGGTGATAAAATCGATTTCAGATAAGTATACTCAGACTGTGTAATATATTGTATTGTACGTGAAGATTGTTTTATTTGTGATAGAAATAAACTATTCGCACAATCGATTGCGTGTAAATATTACGATAAATATTGATTATGTGATAAGCTTTCACTGTTGCTTAGCGGTGAAATTTCAGATGGGCTTGACACATGCATATCATATTTTGTAGTCGAATGCAACAATTCACTTTACCAAAACTGAATTTTCTTCTATTGTGATGTCTATGAGTTTCTGAGTTAATATTGTGATATACTCAACGACTTGTGTCTGGAAGTTTACTGGTTATAAAAATGTAGTTTTTCTGACAAAGTTACATCGGTGATTTTTTGTATTTATGTACTTGATTTGATGATAACTAAGTTAATTTGAATATTATTGAGTGATTACACTCTGATGATGTTAGTAATAGAGAAATTCATGAAAATAATATTATTCTACTAATAATTATTCGTGTTTTTACATGTTATACAATATATCAGTCAAAATAGTTGTCCTTAATTTTATAACACAGACTTAACTTCCGATTATATAAATTGAGGATATAGTATATATGAGAACGATGATGCAAGCAGCCTTCAGATTATTGCGTTTTAGACAAAAAACATTAAAATATATGTGATTAGTTTTCTAATGTATGTTGTCATCATAATAATTAATCATGGCACATCATTTGCTTTTGTGTCTTTTTTTATTGTCACAGAAAAATGATAAAGTGTCTGTTTACCAACTCGTGCCATTCTGGAATATTTTGAGCCTAACCGACTTCATTTGGTGTTATGAGTAAAATAACCCCCCATTCAAAGGTAATAGTGTAGTCTATCGGTGGTTTCATTGTAGTTTTAATTTGTAAATAAAATCTATTCAGAGTGTTTTGTGATTTTCCAAACATTTTGTAATATAGTAGATGTACTTACAACTGAATCGCGCACATTGGTACATATGATGGCAGTGTAGACCACAAGTAATACGGCAAACTTCATGATGCAGGGATCTGGAATCACAAAAAAATGCATATTAACAACGCTCAAATCATACTTCATCGAATTTTATATGAAAAAAGACTTGGTAGTATAATCATGATATTGGTCCTTTTGTGCAAATAATCGTATTGTATAAAACTTTATAACACACCCCTTTATCAACATTATGTGTTATGATTTGCCAATTCTCGGTCGATATATTATATAATTAGTTGACGCGTAGGTATGTTTGAAATAACGTAAATCTTCAAAATGAACATATATATCAACTAATATTTATCAACAAAATGTCTGCACTTCTAGCAGAAAATATTAGTGATGAAAGAACCCTATGATTTGCGTAGGAAGTCATAGAGAAAGGTGAGACCAATTAAATATTTTCAAACTATTGTCAGAAAAAAAACGTTTTGAATGTTGAACCTGCATCCCGCACTGGACTGTTTCTCTGCTGACATACGGCAAGGGTTCAATTTATGCTCGATGACCTATATTTAATATCTTCTATGAACTGCAAAGTCGATATTATAAAATTGCATGACTACGAGTAGTTCAACCAAGTCAATTATGTAAAGTTAAAAAACAGAAGGACAAGATAGTATCAACAGAACAAATGGCCAATATTATACAGTGGTGTGTCCAAAATAGTGTTTTCAACACCTACCAATTTAAAAAAGGACATGCAAATAAGAGTCTTGATGTATATTTGCAACCATGGCGCTAAAATCTTTGAGACATCACCTGCATACATCTGAAAAATTTGATTCATCAGAACCACATTACATCACCGCCGCAGTATTGACGAATTTGTGATATTGTTCTTATGTTTGAAAGACTGGGATTTGGCTCTGTCTAACAACACATTCATTACATAAATCGAAAAGATCAACCATATGTGTAATTCTTTCTAGCAGAGGCCAAAGAAAAAGTACACAAATTAGCATACACATTAAGTTGTTTAATACTAACATATAGTCATTGGACAAAAATACTATAAGAGATAAAAAAAATCTAAATAGGTAAGATGATCCGGACTACGCAAACCATTGTTATCGCGTATAATTACAGATTATAAATTAATATATGAATGAGTTATCAAAACATTTTGCCAGAACAATTTCTAGTAGCCAAGCAAGGGCACTTACAAAACGTCTTTAATGACAACCATACTTTGAGGACAATAGCTCGTAAAATGCAATACCAGAATGTAAAAGCGTTAGGTTACATCTTATTGTAATATCCCTATGTATGGCCTACAGTCATAGATGGCTATATATGTTTCATCCAAGCACATTTGTTTCAATCTGAGAGACTGTGGTCTAATTTAACAACAAATTATTTTGATAAACTTACAAGTAACTTACAAGTCAATCTGGATTTTATTGTGGAGAGTGTTTCGTCTTCAGCTGTCGGGTAAACTGCGTCGTAGGGCGGGGTAGTTTGGGTAACCTCTATTCAATTGTCTATATTTGTAGTAAATACCATGAGATATCAGAAAGCGTGGTTATTTGACTAAAATAAGACTAAAAAATACCCAGATTTGTTAACATAGGTGGATCTATTCATATAATTTTATTTTGTTTTATTTGAAATATTTTGTGTTTTACATACTTGTTTAAGTAGTATTGAGAGTTTAGTATTTTAGTCAGTCCATTTGTTTTATTTTTAAACGCATCGTGCAACATGTACTTGAATGAACGGTGGAAAGTCAATGCTGAGAAACTCACAGGTAGTCACTTAGAATTTACGATATTTCACGAAAATGTGCTGCCCTATAGTTACCCATTTTAACATCGGCATATATTAGAAATATAACACAGCCATGAGCACTAACACCGCTAAATAAGCACTTCATATATGTTGGTCTCGAAACGTTATGCTTTGTATGTAAACTATTTAGCTGACTGAGCTCCAAAGAAATTACTATTATTTCCAATAAAAACACCATTATGTGTGAAATTTTGACATTATTTCTGTTTGAACGTTCGTACGAATCATACCAAGAAACCGAATGTTGAGTACAAGCACTGTTGAATACAAGCACAGTATAAGGCAGGTTTTAGACCTGATGTAATAAACGAGCATGCATGCATTGCGTGTATACAGTCATATAGAGGAGTGGAGTACTGTGGCATTTTTGAGAATTGTATGCAATCATATTGTTTACCCCAAATAGTGAAGAGTCAAGATCGGATAAATATATGAGGAAAACAATGACAATTTAGTTATTCACAATTTAATAAATATCACAATCATGCATTCTGAGTAGTAAAGGCACACTGATGTGAATACGGCGGCTGTGTTGAAATACATAACTACTGGGAGTGAGTGCATTTCGTCAGGCCGATTCGTCGAGGTTGGTTTGAATCACGACTGTAAAATCTCTTTATTTTTTTGTAAATACCAAAAAAATATATAAAATAGAAAACCAAATATTCAGTAACATCCGGTATGTGTGCATGACTCGTTTATTTTGAAATGTTTGTGTTTTTGATCATGTGATCGGGTTATTCGAGAATGCTGTGTTTACCTGACTGTGGAAGATAGTCACAGGGTAGGTAGGTTTGCAAGACAGGCTGTAGTGGATTCCACATATTGAATTCATTCTG